TTTTTTTTTTTTTTTTTGGGGGGGGGGGGGTAAATAAAGCCCTGCTCCATTTCTTTAAGCAAAATGTTTTTATTTACATACGGAGTTTTACACAGGCTGTTCGTCTATCTGTAATTAGCTCAAGGTATGTCTGCTGCTTTTTCAGAATTTGTTCAGACAGGAATGAGCTTCTGTTGGTAATAATCTACTTCATCAGATGCTATAAACAAACTGGCAGAAAGAAAAGATTTTAGACAGGGTGGAAAGGGGCAGGGGAGGGGACATTGCTGAAAAGGTAATACATCAGCGGATAAAATGAACTGAGATGAACAAGGTAGTTAACACCTTGGGGAACACTGGATTTAACAGCTAGTCTACCTACTAGGATAAGAATCCATAGGCCCTGTTGAGACCATGGTTAATGCAATCCAATCTGTGGATAATTGCTTGTTCTGCAATTTCACACTGAAGTTTTGTGTTTTTTTGTCGGGGGGAGGCAGGGGTTAATAGATTTTGTTTAAGGACAGCTACTGAGATCAGTAATGAAGTGTTCAAAGAAGTTAATATGTTCTGCCATGGGCTTCTGTGTTTCTGGAATTTAAGTCAAATTGGCACCCATTTATTCTTTTTATATTTCTAAGTAAAGGATAACTAAAAAGAAAGTATTTCCCAAAGGATGCAATTAAAAGTATTATCAATTACACTAATAGCTTGGAACAGGAAATGTTTCTATACTGTGGTAGACAACCCCTGGCACTGGTGACAGAGTGCAACATGTGAAGGCGTTTTGCTTGGCACGTGTGCCTCGCGAAGGGGCCAGGACTGCACAACCACAGCAAGGATCGGGACCCTCACGGCAGCTCTGTCATCTGCCCCTGGCATCCCAACACATTACAAGTCGAGGTTGCGGGTGTTTTTGACGTTTTGCCTAAAAATGTTGCCGACCTCTGTTCTATACATTTAAAGATGCATTTAACAAAAATAAGAAACACGAACTCCAATTAAAATACTTGGTAGTTTATCTTGAAATAAGGATAAAAAAGGCTTCAAGAGGACATGCCTGCAGACGATAGTATGGTAAGCTCTGAATCAACTTGAGTGGGGACAGAAAAAATTCCCCTTCCTCCCAACCACATAGATTTAGCTCGGCACAGGGAAGGCTTATAGTTAGACCTTTTTAAAAATAACTCATCATTTCTTAAAAGAAACAAAAAGATTTGTGTATTTTATTAAACAGACTCTTAAATGTTTTAAATCAAACATGCATTTATATTGTTGAACTCATTTATACTGTTTAACCTGTACATGTTGAACTCATTAGAATAGAGTTTCTATAAAAATAAGAGCTTTTCTTAAATACAAAGTAATGCTTATTTGCAGGGGTGGGGCGTAGAATATAGACTGGATACCAAATTATGATACCTTAAACTATTTGTATAACATACCAAACACACTTAGGGGAAAAAAAGTGTGGAAGAATCTCTAAGCAAACAAATTAGCCTAAAATATTATTCTGGCATTACGTCAAAGAGTTAAGCTTAGATTGAAGATCTACCCTGAAGATCTCTCAGGCCTTTGATAGCTTATTGTTCAAAAACTAAAATACAAACCATTAAGCATTAGATAACATATTTGCCAAATTAAATTCAATGAAGCTACTATACTACACAGAAGAGAAAGAATTAAAAAACAGGTCATGTCATAATGGAAATTTCACGTAGCAGCCAGAGCCAACCGAGTGTTCGTACGGCTCACAAAATTTTCCTAATGAAGTAATTTTTTGTGCAAACAACTTCTCTATGGATGAAAAAGAAATTATTAACAGCAGAACTCTTACCATGATGAGGGAAGTATCTGCTATTGTTAAGTTTTAGTTCTCTCTCACTATTCAGTTCAGGAATTTTCTTTTTGGAGAAGGGGGAGTATTACAGCAAGAATATTATTTGCTTGTACAAATTATTTCTGAAAATAAATTTAGCCTAGGTGATATTGTACACAATGTGGCCGTGTCTGCTGAAAGATTTAAATGCATTTTACACACTTACTTAAGTTATAGTACTACAGAAGTGTTTCATTAGTACTATCCAGTGTTTATTTTCACTCATAATGCTACATGTTTTTATCAGTCAAGGATTTCTGCATACTAATCTACTATGAATGGACAGCTTAAAGAAACCCAGTAAATGGAAGTTAACTGTCTGTCTGTAACAGATGCACAGTTGACGCTTCCTGTACATTCTCACTGATAGCTGTTTTAAAATATGCTTAGTATTACAGAATTAGTTCAGACCATTTAATTCCACATTCTTTCAAACTCCGGGCACGGTTTAAGAGATGGGGAAACCAGGGTCTAGGAAAGTGGTTCGAACCTGCAGAGATGCTATAACACCAGTTGCGGCACCACTGTGGGATGATATTGCCCCACGTGCCTGTTTCTGGGAGACACCATGCAGGGTCAGCCTGGGAAGGGCTGCGGCAAGAGGATGAGCTTCTGCCACAGCTGCTTCCCAATCTGGCTGTGCAGGAGCTGCACGCTGCGGTCCCACCTGGCTTTCCTGGAAACAGTACCATGAATATATTTATAATGATCTAATAAATTACAAACATGTCAATTACTATCATCATAACAGATTATAATATGCTTAATATTTTAAATTAGGGTTTTGTTTTTTTTGTAAATGGGGCACCACTATATTTCAAAATACTTTAGAGAGCTACCTTAAGTCCAAGAGCAACTACTCTTTCTTACGGTTACTGGAAGGGAACAATTTTCTTTAGAACAACAACAATTCGGACACGCGATCTATTTTAGTATATGGCAGTTGTGCAAAAAGCTTTCAAATGGCACCTACCCCCACAGGGAGCAAAGAAAAAGGCCACCCAACCTCCTGTCTGGAAACAGCTTCAACACCAAACAGAAGATAGTAGGTAACAAAGCCCTTCTCCGCCTTTTGGCAAAGATGAAGTGCGACTGAAGGCATCTGAACTCCACGCATAGCCTCCGCGCCTGAGACTTGGATACCCGCCTGGATGTGGCGTATCTGAACTGCCTGAGGTCTAGGAGGGGGAGATACTCGTCCAGCCCTAGTTTTATGACCTGTGGAGCTTCGAAGACACCACTGAGCATTGCTCAATTGGATGTGGAACCCAACTGACACTGAATTAAAAAAACAAAAAACGACTGTTTTTAAGGTAACTGGGTTTCAACCCAGCCTCCAACTCTGTGGGGGGGAAAGGAGGACACCCCAAAAGCCAGCTGTGCGTGTGGGGGGGATGGGACTCTGGGTTGAAGGGGGCCCTGCTCATACTCCAGCAACCACCTGGGGCAGGGGGGGGAGAGGGAGACCTTACTCACACCCTGGCAAGCAGCTGTGCAGGATGGGAGGACCCTGCTCACGCCCCGGCAAGCACCTCTGTTGGGGGGGCTCTGCTCACACCCCAGCAAACAGCTCCGTGGGGGGAACCCCCAGAAACTCACACTCACTCTCCAGACCTGTGGAGGGAGGGGGCGGACCCTGCTCACCCCCACAAGCACCTATGCGTGAGGAGGACGCTCTCCGCCTCCAGCGGCGCCGCCCAGCCTATCCCCGGGCCCCGCACTCACCGCGGCCAGGTCCGCCAGCCGGTCCTTCATCCTCGCCACTTGTTCGCACTGCTCGCCCAGCTCGGTGCGCCTCCGCCACTGGATCCCTCCGCGGCCCCCGGAGGCAGCGGCCACTCCTCCGCGCGCCAACCCCGCATGCGCCGCGCGGCTGCTGGATGCACAGCTGGAGAGAGCCGCCAGCTGCGTGTGGGACGGGGTCATGCAAATGAAGGGGTGTGGCCGTGCGGGCAGCTGGGAGCCCGGCGGGTGCTGCCGGCCCGCGGGCCCGGGGAGGTTGGATGCGATGCAGGGACATCAGCTGCCCCCGCCTGCGCCTCCCTGCCCGGCGGGGGCCATGTAGCAGGGGAAGGAAGGCCTCGATGATGTTGCACAAAGGCTTTGTGGATGCAAAGACAAAGCAGAGCACTTGGGACCCTGCTGCACCTTCAAATGAGAGATGGGTAGACACCAGCTCTGGAGTTGGGACACCCTTTCAAGCACTAACTGTGGATGCCAAGCTGAGGTGCCCACTGAGCACCCAGCAGCAGCATGGGTACAACTCCTACAGTGGGTCCCATCTGCCGGAGCTGGTCTGGCCACCCCCACCCCGTGTGCAGAAATAACAGGGAACGGCACAGGTGTAATATCTTTAATTAGACCAACTAGATACAGGCCGTTCTTGACTTACAATGTTTCCAGTCACAACATTTCGCACTTACGATGTTTATAAGTTGACACCCTGATTCAACTTTCTGACATCAGTTTGGACTCAATCCAGCGCCATGCCGCGCCAGCGAGCAAGTTTGCTGCCCATGTCCCTGGAGAACATCTGTCCAAACTGCCTTGGACACTTTCTTTAAGAAAACAGACGAGACTCCAGAAGCCCTACAGCCAGGAGCCCTTCAAAAAGTCCATCCAAGAGCCCTTCAAAAAGTCCAGCAACGTCACCTCAAAGAAGTGCTTCCAAACCAATATGAGCACTATTCACAACATACATACGTTAATGTAGCTATATTACTCATCTATAATTGATTGAGTACAAAGTTCTGGGGGTTTTTTGGTGAAAATAGAGTATGGGGCCTTGGTTCAGGAACCAATCCCCATTTATAACATTGTTTCCTATGGGAAAATCAGTTCCGAGTTACAACGTTTCGACTTAAGACTGGGTTTCCAGGAACCAGCTGTGTCCTAAGTCTGAGAACTGCCTGTATTTGCAAAAAAAAAAAAAATCTTTATTTGCAAGCTGTCCTGCACAGGCACCCTTCATCAGGTGCAGGAGATGGCAAAGATTGTAAAAGTTCTCCTAGGTAGAAATGAAAATTCATGCATATTTATCGTGACCCCATCCACTGATGTTGGGTCATCAGCAGACCCAAAGTTTGGGAACCGCTGCCTTAGTGTGCCTCAATTTATTGCGGGATGGACCAGTGCAGTGTGTAATACATGTAACATGCAGCCCAGGCCCTTGAGTAGCAAGGGGGTGCTCTAAAACCAAAATCAAAAAGAAGAAATCATTCTGTGCTTTAGCATTTATTAATGTATTGCACATGTAGTGCCACAGGGTCTCAGGCTACTGCTCTAGACAAATGCAAAGTGATAAACTATTGTCTTCCGGACCTTAATGATGTGATTTAAGATAAGAACCAATGTTGTATTTGTCCCAGGACAAGTTTTGCTTGTGTCTGTCCCACAACAGAAATGTCCCAGGACTGGCATGGGCAGACAAGGTCCTTTGGGTAAATGTGATATTTTTTATTAGACCAAGTAGTTAGAAAATTTGTTCTTTGCAAGCTTTTGGGCACCAACACACTTCTTTATGCATACCAAGAGTCAGGATTGGCATGTACACTTACTCTAACCAGGATTTAGTGAGCAGCTGAATGCAGTGCTGGGGGTTTTTTTCTTCCTTTTTGTTCTTATTTTAATTTGGTGCAACTGTTCAGATGCACTTTGCAATATTTCAAGCTCAGTTGTTAGTACTTCTTCTCCTGTAAACCTTTTCAGGATTTATCCTGGGGCAACAGACATGGTCATCTGGAGAACTGTACTTTGTCTCCTACATAAAGAGGTGTATCCTGGGACAAATGCAACATCTGTCTGTTGCCATATAGATATCATATCAAGGAAATATAATGAAGTATTGGAGTTGGCAGAATTATGATAGCAGAAGAGAATGAGGTATAACAAAGAGGCCAAGTTTTTTGCACAGCCTCTTCAAGTGCTGCTCTGATCCCCTTCCCCGGACTGCTCTGCTGCTCTGTTTCCTTCCCTGTGTTCCCTGCCTGTTTTACTGCTTTACTTTCGGCTTCCTGTCTTATCTTCTGCTGTGCTGCCTGTTCCCCCCGATTTGCCATGTGCTACGCACACCGGCTTCCTGTGCCACAAGTTGGGCACCCCTCAGATGTAAGAAAGCACATACCATTCATGGGTGTGTACATATGTGTTTTGTTAGTTCCCCTTTAGGTACATATATGTATGTGCACAATATAAAATCATATGTAGCACCTGAAATGAAAGCCAAACACAAGCTGAAAGTTTATAATTTAATATCTGGGGCAATGTTGATTGATACACAGATAACATCACTATGGGGACTTTCTAATTATGCCTAGAGCACAATCAGAACATCGGGAGTCCATAGCATGAACAACAACATGCAGGAAGTTGTTCAAAGTCCCTGATACAGACCTGGTGTCTGGCAACAAACCTCTGAAAAAGACATGAAGAAGGGCACTTCATACCCAGAATATTGTCTATATGCCTCCTAATCATACAGTCGGTTCAATAAAAATATCATCCCCAAAAATCCTTGACTCATTAATTTTGAAAAAAACAACAGTTTTTCAGAAGCTGCTAGAGATTGTATGTTAGCTTCAGGATTTGAATCGGGGTACTTGCAAAAAAAAAAAGTTATTTTCTCTGGTGGCTGTAAATTTGTACTCCAGACTTCACATTTTCAATTTTAAAAAGAAAACAAAAAGCCCTGTAACCATTGCAGTTGTAAAGACAACCTACACATTTTGTAACAGATATTGAAGTCTATATCTGAGGGATAAATTGCTCTGTTTTGTTGGTATTTGAAGTTAACCCTGAAACCTAACCTTTTTATGTATAGGGACAATCACCTTGAAATTTATGCTTCAAAATAATCTGCTTTCTACTTTACACTATCCTCTAATGAGTTAGAAAATAAGATAATGTTTACCCTGCTTCATTTGTGGACAGTCAGTTCCACCATTTTATCGTGGAAAGCTCCACGACTGCTCTGGAGAACGCTGCAGATCTAGTGGTCTTAAAATACAGATGCGTCTTGTGACCGCTTTCCAAAACTTTTTAGTATATCCTGAGCACGTCTACACGAGATGCCTTAATGCACAGCAGACTGTTCTACTGCGCATTAGCACATCATGGCAAAACCCAGGTTAATGCACAGTAGAATTTGCCTACCGTGCATTATCACAACAAAGTTCACCTTTGCTATTGCACATTAGCACAGATACTGCATCTTGACCGAGTAGCTCATACTAGAGATACCACACAATGTGCAGAAGGGAAGGCACATTAATGAACATGTAAACACACCCTCTGACAATGAGTGTATCACCCATGGCAACGTATTCTGACCCTAAGGCACTGGGCATTACTATAGATATCAAGATTATCCAGTGTTATTCTAATATAATAAAAGCCTTAAGCTGTCTGTCTGTCTGTCAGTAACGCTTTAATTAAACTCTGATTGGTTGTCTCAGTAGCCAGTCACAATGCTGACTGAAACAACCGATCAGAGTGCTCTGCACAGACAGACACACACGGCGGAGCACCACCACAACAGCAGCCAGAGCGGCCCACAACCTGGCTCTGCTCCTTGGAAGCAGAGGGGGATGATGGGGACTGGAGTGCTGCCATAAGGGAGTGGGGGGGTAAGACCCCCCCTGGGTCTGCTGGTTGGAGCCAGGAGCTGGTGCCCCCTCGCAACAACAACAGCTGGCAGGGAGGGGAGGTGGTGGGGAGCAGGGGAGGG